TTTTTTTTTTTTTTTTTCATGTGTGGCACCTGTCTGATGAAATGAAATCTATCACGGTAAAGAAAAGAAGTGTAAAATGGGAAAAAAAAAATTGAAGATCATGGAAAGCTAATTAAGAATGATGGTGATGAGGTTGACTGTTGATGAGCATGAAATATTACCAGTGTCTACTGTAATCTTGGGGCCAAAGTCCTCGGAAATGTTCAACAGGTGATCCGACAATGGTGAATCCCTCAGACCACATCCGCTTGGGAAAGAAAGAAGAAATTCTTGCAACACCATAACCTGAGATGCTGTCTGGTGATCTCGAAGCTTTAAGCTTTTGATGGACCGGTAAAGAGAAAAGGGAATTGGTAATGTGTTCGACGTTATCAAGAAGAGCGGAAGGGACCCCGTGGTTGGTTACTTGGCAGACGCCCCAGGTTTTGCATGCGCGTCCGATGAGGTTAAGAGCATTAGGGTCGGAAAGATCGATGACTGGAACAGTTTCATTGATGGAGTCGCCGGTGGGATTGTAGTGTTCATCGCCGCCGAGTTGAGTCCATGCGTAGGAATCGGGGAGGTCTTGGAGGGAAGTGAAGTCTTGGTTCTTGAGGTCGAGGTTGACAGGTTGAGCTCGGAAGGCATCGGACAGCCTTGCAGGCATGGTGAGATAGTGAGTATGTGTTTTGAAAATAAGAAAACAACAAAAGGTGTTTTGGTTTTTAATGGACTACGGATGGAAAGAGGGGAGTGGCCTGGGAGCAGAAGTGGTGTACTTGGCTGAGCAAAATAGAGCTAGCGATGGAAAATGAACAAAGAGATATGATGGCTTCTAGTGGATATATAGAAGTGGAGAGAAAATAAAGTCTCATTTGGATTACAAAGAAAAAAGGTTTAATTAAACATTAATTGAACTTTCTTTTGTAAGTGTCTCCTAATCAGTTTTAATACATCTCAAAATTAACTTTTACTCAACCAATCTTAAATATGCACCGTTATATCAATTTGATATATTTAAACAAATAAATTTTCTTGAATGTGCTAAGATTAATTGAATTTATTGAATGTGCTAGATTAAGGCTTTGTTAGTTAATACATTTTAGAAACTTTGTTCGCATAACATATTATCTAAAATTGTAAATTTATAATTTATAATTTATAATTAATTTTAATTAATTTTTTTATATTTTTACTTGTTTTAATTAATATTTTATATATTTTCAGGATAATAAAAAACAAAAACCCACCACTACCTTACAACATAACATTAACAAACTAAACCTAATGAAGTTATGAGAGAACTTTGAATTCATCAAGTGTACTTCATTAATCAGTCATTATTTATATATAATGCAACAGGCCTTTTTAGAATATATCTTCTGGTTAAATTTAATTGTTTCAATTTAACTTTTACTTAAATTTTGATTAGAAATTTTTATATGATAAATAAATGACAATTGAATATTTTTTCTTTCTATACATAATTCTTATTTAATATTTTCACTTAAATTAAAAAAAATTAACTATCATTTATTTACTATATAAAATTATCAAGTTAATTTACATTAAGTTGAGGAACTAAAACAACTAAAAAATATCAAAGGGAGTAACGTACAGTAACCCTAAATATATACACTTCTCATACCCTAAATTAGTGCGAGATTAGGAAGAATACACAAATTGCATCGAAATGACTTGAACATCAATATTAACAAGGATTTGGTGAAATATCTGCCCATTGAGGAAACATGATGAAGTTGAACAACTTGAGAAGTAACAATTTCACGTAGAAACTAGAGATCGATCTAAATATGTTTTGTTCTTTGATGCTGATCAACTGGATTGGTAGCCAATATATAGAGAATCGATGTTGGAGTAGGCATCAAAATATGTAACTGATCAAAAAGAAGCTTTCGAACCCAAGTTACTTTAGCCACAAGATTGGCAATTGCTGGATATTCTGCCTCAAAACTAGAACAAGAAACTGTAGGATATGTTTTTCAGATCACCAAAATATTAAAAAAGAAAAATGAATAGTATATACTCGATTCAATATACTTTTCGATACTCGTTAGTTTAACTATTAACATAGCATATAAGTATAATCTGATTCAATCAGTTCATACATTTTATATGTATAATTGTATTTTTAAATTTATCTATATTTAATTTTATACTAAAAAATAATAATTTTTCAATAAATGTTATGCAATGTATTGAATTAAAATGTATACCAATTAGTGTCCATTAAATTACTGAGGAAAATTAAGATTGAAGCTTGAGGTAGATCTCTTGGTGTCCAAGCTTTGCCCAATCGGTATCTGTAAAGAGATAGAGAAACAGAAGATATGTGACATAATTGCAAACCACATAAAGTAACTTTCAAATATATATCAATGTATCTGCTTTACTGCTTAATAATGATTAAATGTCGAAGCATGCTCACATTGACACCCTTGTCGAACCGCAAAGGCAATGTTTGGTTTGGTAAATTTAAAGTACTGTAATGCTCCCACTATACTTTGATAAAGAGAAGGATCAAAGAATCGTGGACTATCATTGATGGCCAATTTCTTCTTAAAATTAATTGGTATCGCAGACAGACATATAATCTTTCTTGCCACTTCGATCAAGAAATTCTTTAGGACAGTGATTGGTACACCATACATTTCAACACCCAATTCAACACCCTTCGGTTTAGTAATTAAAAAATCACTATTTTTTAGTTTGAAATTAAAAAAAAATAAATATAATAATACAATCATACACACAGGATACAAAAATTGACTGAATTGACTAAATTGACTGTATTTATATTATATTTTTAATAACTAAACCGAATAATATTAAACTGAATGTTGAGGCGAAGAGTGCACCAAACATTTCCCAATTCCTTAATGTATTTCTCTTGGTGCAAGAAAATACCATCTGCGTTGAACCTTGCCAAGATTCCAAGGAAATAATCACGTGGGACAAGATCAATCATCAAGAATTCCCTGTTTTAAGCTGAAATAATAGTATCTAACAAAGACTTCATTGAGGCAGTCAATATGATATTATCAACATACAAAAGTAATATTGAAATTGAGCCTCTGTCGTGAAAAATAAAGATAGAAATGATGAAAGGTATCTTGACTTAATTGGTTCATTCTAGATAAATAACATTTGCATATATGTATAAAAATGGAGGGATGGCGACAAGAGTGGATAAAAATAGCTTGTATTTGAGTAAAGGTGAAGTTCTTTATTCTCATTATTATTTTTTGTTCTTCGGTTCGCTATACTTATTGTCACTATTAATTTCGTTAGTATCACTAAAATTGTCCAAATTTTATTTTAATTTAACTATTAAAAATAACTAATTAATAAAATAATTGATATTTATTATTTAAAAGATTGAAATCAATTTATAAATAAATATTTTCAAATATCATAACTAATTATTTAAAAAAATCAAAACTAATAAAATTATAGATAAAATTATTAATCTTAACAAAATTAGTGGTATTCATAACATCACCTCCTTATGTTGTAAGCCTCTTTTTATAAAACAAGGGTGTTAATTAAACTCTGAACAGCTATTTTAAGAAAAAAAAAAAGAAAAGAAAAGTTGATGTAATAGTCAAGAAAACTAAACACACTCTTAAAATATGAATAATGATAAACAGATGAAATTTTAAAATTAAAATTTTTAACCATATAAGTCACATAATTTAAAATAATAAAAGATAAATTTTATATTATTTAATAATTAATTCCTTTTATTATTTTTGAAATTCATAATATTATATGTGTTAATTTATTTAATAATACCAATTTATGCTACATCATTACGGATAAATTTTAGTCCTAAATTTTCAACATCTCTATTATTACTCTTAAAATATAAATTTAAGCCTTTGTTTTCAAGCGGAGAGCTTTTGATGGAAGGGAGACAATGCAAGAAATGATAAGGGAGTGACTGTTTTGTATTGGACAAAGGAAAGAACGAAAACAGAAAGGACCATCTTGTTCTCTATAAACAATATAAACTAAAGAAATGATAGGGGAGTGAGTGTTTTGCATTGGACAAAGGAAAGGAAATGATACCATGTGCCTTTGTCTTGTCCTCAACCCAAAAAAAAATATCCATATCAACAAAACCTCCACTACAAGACACAATCCATCTACATTTTGACCATATTTCCAAATCCTCCTCCATTCTAAATCAATAAAACTTGTATTTGGATTGATTAACTAAAGAGAGAACTCTTCAGGCTAACTGCAGGCTTTGGACCAGGTCATCTCATAAATAATGGACTCAACACCGCCAGTTAGAGCGTTTTTAAATTTCATCATCAAAGAATGGGAAAAGAAATATTCTTATTTTGGGAACATTTGGAAGGGTATTTTGGTCCATCCATTTTGAGACATAAATGTGTGACTGGTTGCTCCTTTATATTTGGTTATTTCCTTGAAAAGTAGTAAAGTACCTTTTGGTTATTTTGAGGTTAGATTTGTGTTCTTTTGTCCTACATGACCCAGGTAGGCTCCCTAAAACACCACTCATATATATAAACCCTACAACAATTTTTTGGGGTATTCCTAAACTTTATCTAGCGGACCCTATTGTCCTCCTTTCTCCACAGACAACCTCTCCCCCACCACCACCCCATATCAACCAACCGCCCTAAAAATTAAAAATAAATAAATAATAAAAACTAAAAAGCAAGGAGGCCTTCATTTTCTTTTTGTTTGATTTCACCTTTTTTTTTTCTCTTTTATTTTGTCCTTTTATGTAAGCTCAATGCTCATACATCCAGCACAACAGCAACAACATTATTTTGTCCATTTTGTACTACATGATTTTTAATTCTACACGCATATGCAGTTCACATGACACAAAACGTGGTGAGGCCAGGTCATTCTACAATGATCCGAGGATAGAATGATGGAGAGATAACCTATATATAATAATAAGACCAACAACTTGGTAAAGGAAAATAAAAAGGATCAACATTTTAATTGCTTTCATGTAAGAAAATAGGATAGTGATTGGTATATTTTGATTCAACACATTATATAATAATTATATAATATATTTATTAAAAATTTATTAATTTTTAATTTAAAATTTAAAATGAATATATTTAAAGAGGTACTAGTACATATGAGATATAAAAATCAATTAATTTTTTTTTTATCAGCAAGGCACACGAATCAATCAATTTAATTAAAAATCAATTAAATTGATTGTATTTATATAACATTTTAATAATTAAACCAAAATAAATATTTAAAAAATATATTAAATTGGGTGTATATTAATTATTTTTGAAAAAAAAAACTTTTCAATAGCAAATGTAATTTACATAAAATATTCCTTTCGATCAGCACGGCACACGAAACAAATATAATTTACATAATTTACAGGTAGCTGGAAAATGACGACAAAAGAAAACGAGCATAACATATGACCTAGTAGAAGATTGTTGGGCAGTGTTGTGCCTGTGATTATTGTTGTATTCTTCTATTTTCAAAATATGAAAGGAAAGTCACAAATATTGTCGTATTGACACTGGAATTATCAATACAGAAATCAGAGAGGAAAGCGAACAAAGAAACTGTGCAGAAATGAGG